TCGATCGACCGCGCATTCCACAGCACTTGTCAACGGACCACCAGACAAGATACTCTGAGCGCTCTGAATGTTTCCTCTTCAAATTTTCTCGTAGAACCCGATGCGGGTGACTGAAGTTACTAAAATTATCATCTAACCAAGATATGAACGATCTTATTCTGCAGTGGTTACGAAAAAATTGAATTTCCCGTTCAAAAGAAAAAGCCAGACCATATACGTGAATCAAATTGCGCTCAAAAAAAAAAAAGTGTTAAATGTACCACAGATTGAAAGTTTGAGTTCTGGATCATTTTGTCGCCAAGAACCCTCATAAATTCTGAAAAGTGAACCTACGGCAGCAATCCAAAGTTTGACAACAATAAACGGGACATTGGAGAAAAGCGCGATTAGAGAAAATTAGAGTATACCTATACAGGGAGAGTATGGACAGCTCGAAATATGTAGCTCTTAGGGCCCAAACGGGCAGGTAACCTTTGAAAACGAAAAATGTCACTGTCAATCTTTAGATTCCAATATTAAACGAAAAGTGACAAGAAAATTCACAAGTAAGCTTTTTTCCGCAAAAATGATTAAGTTTATGCCAAAACCAAGTCAAATGCGTGCTTTACCAACGACGGTTCCCATCAATTGTGATCATAAATCACTCTGGATAATTTGAATTCATAGATTGCCAACCCTTTTGGGCTCTAAGAGCTCCATCACCTAACCTCAGAATTTTCGACGTGTCCATACTCTCTCTATAGACCAATTTAGTGTGACGTCACATCTTGATTTAATTTCGATATCTCGAAAGTCGAAACGTGCCCCAACAAACGAACATATAGGAATCTGCGGGATTTAGGCAGGGGGGGGAGGGGGATTCGCTTTATGACTGTCACTGATATTACGAGCTTATTATACAATCAATTCTTGTGATTGTGATCTCAAACGTTTTTGTAAATGGCTAGCTTTCATAATTTTAAAGTCCCATGGAGCAATTTTTTAGTTTCAGGCAGTTTTAGCATTATTTCGTCAATTGTTCATTTTGGAGGTTATGTTTGTTTGTTGGGGCACATTTCGACTTTCGAGATATCGAACCAACAATATCGCTCCGTGACGTCACCACTAAATTGGTCTATATAGGTACTCTAGAGGAAATGTATTGAAATATTCTAACGGCAATCCCCAATTTTTCATGTGTGCCTTTCGTTGCATCTTCTTCTGTTTCCTCCGTTCAAAGGTGCTCGCCGAGTTTACGGAGCGTCGCGTCGCCGAGCGTTTCATTCGGCGTCGCGTGGATCCATAAAAACGCGGGCCTCGCCAATCCAAAGCTCGCCATCATTAAAATGATTAAGCCGACGTGATGCCGTGCCGTCGCATAATGCCACCCCTCCGCCTGCGCCTCTGCGTGCTCCCTACCGCCGCACAGTTGATCGGGTCAATCGGAGAGCTCGGAAAAAAGTTGGAGACTTAAGGGGAGCCAGACACCCTATCTTCCCGATGTTAACGTTTGTACCTTTTTCTCAGGATCTACTGAACAAAAATCACTTCTTTTTTTTTTGTTTTGAACTTTGAGCCCTCCTGAACATTTTAACACGGGCTTTTTTAAAATTTAAAAATTTGAAATTTTCGTGAATTTTTGAAATTTTCTTGTTAGAAATCATAGAATTTGGACATTTGAAATCAAGTTAAAAAAAAACCCAGCTCGAAATTTTGGAAAAGCTCGAGTTAAAATGTGCAGGAGAGTGCAAGGAATGAAACAAAACAAAGTTTTTGAAAATCGGTTCAGTAGATCCTGAGAAAAAGGTACATTAGTGCTGAAAAATGTAGTTTTCGGGAAATGAGGAATTTAAAAAAAAAAACAGCAAAATCAGTTTTAGTGTAATTAGTAGTGTATTTAGTAAACTTTCCCTCACTAAAACGCGCGTAACTTCAAAACTACTCATCAGATCAAGTAAAACTTGGTCTGAAATTAAACGTGAGGAGTAGGAGATTAAGATTAGCCAGAAAATAAAAAAAAAAACATTTTTTTTTTCAATTTTCAAGTGTCTGGCTCCCCTTAAAAGCTCATAACTCCGTTTTTGCAAAATTTTGAGGTCTTAAAAATGGTCCTATTGGTTTCCTCGCGAAATTTTCTTCTAGAAACACACATTGAACTTCAAAATGTGACAGAATGGACATCAAAATTTGCGGTTTTTGTCAAAAATGTCATGTTCGACCTCTCTGATTGGCTGGATCCACTGTGCGCTGCGCCGCCCGCGACCGGTTCCAGGCAAATTATAGTCGTCAGCTCGGCGGAGCTTTTTCCGAACGCCCGCACCACTGCGGCGCCGCTTAGCGAGAAAAGCACTCCGTCATTTCATCGACAACGTTTCCCGGGCCCCGGGTTTTCTTCGGACTCCGTTCAAGTAACGAATCTATAGCCGAGCTTTTTGTCAGACTAAACCTAATTTTTTGTCGGGGAATTTCGAAAAGTCAGGAAAAACCTGGGAATATGTCAGGGAAAAATCGTCAAATCACCTCTATATGCTTTCTCGAGCGGATTTGACGTTCCAAACCACAAATTTTGCGTGAAAGCCATTTCTAACTATGTCTTTTTAACGATCTGGTATTTGTTCAATTGTCACGGAATTTTACCAAAATGTGTCAGAAAAATTAGGGAAATATCAAGGAACTTGATTTTCTAAATTCTGTGGTAACCCTGGATACGTGACGCTAATAATTGGATTTTTCTCCCCACTTCCCCCACACTGGAAAAAAAACACGTTGGATCTAGAGTCCAGACTCTTGAAAACATTTACAAGAAAAAGGACTCTTGATTAAATCAGATTTAAGCTTAAATCAAAGGGAAATCCGCTCAATTTAAGAGGCTTGGTTCTTGGTTTAAGCTTAAATCTGATTGAATCAAGAGTATTTTTCTTGTCAATGTTTTTAAGAGTCTGGACTCTAGATCCAATGTGTTTTTTTTTTTCCAGTGCACCATAATACTGGTGTGTATCTTCCAAACTAAGCTCCAAGCCAGCCGCCCCGGCCCCCCCCCCCCCAAAAAAAAGGNACAAAAAAAAGGTCCCAAATGGACGAGCCAAGGAAAGTGGATCCTCTAAATGTCCATAAGTTTATTTCTTACTGGTATATCACTCTGCCTTTAGTGAGCGCACAAATATCAGCTACATATAATGCGGCATTCGTTTAATAATGCAGTTGTACACGGTTGCCCATCTTTCATGCGTCGCAGCCGTTACCGCGGGAACTCGATGCCGCCGCGTTAACCCGCATCGCCGGGCGCAACGCGTTATATTAACGCGAGAAGCGTGAGACCGGGAGCGTGGCGTCGCGACGCGCTCGGAGGACGCCCGGTCCGGTCCGCGTCGAGACGCAACGCGTGCGAAAAAGTTTCGCACTGCAGCGCGCGCGCACGCCACACGCCGCGCGCTGACGCAAGCGAGGACGGTCAAGTAACCTGCCGTCTTTCAGCTATCGTGTATTACGCAGAAATAACGCCGCGCCGTCCGTCGTCCGTTGGCGAGGAAATTTTGCCAGACTCTGAGGGCAGGGTTGCCACAGTCAGGGAATACCGGGAAAACCGAGAAATGTCAGGGAGTTTCTCGAGAGTCAGGGAAAAATTTTTCAGTTACCTTTATTTGCTGTCTAGAATGGGTTCGACGTTTCAAAGAACAATTTTTGCCATTTTGCGTCAAGGGAATCAGGGAAATGTCAGAGAATTTCTCGAAAATCAGGAAAAAATTGTTGGGTCACCTTTATTTGCTGTCTAGAATGGGTTCGACGTTTCAAAGAACAATTTTTGCCATTTTGCGTCAAGGGAATCAGGGAATTTCTCGAAAGTCAGGAAAAACCGAGAAAAGTCAGGAAGAAATTGTTGGGTCACCTTTATTTGCTGTCTGGAATGGGTTCGACGTTTCAAATAACAAATATTGACACTTTGCCCAGGGAATTTCATTTTCTAAATTCTGTGACAGCCCTGGTAGGGCCTTAAACAGTCCCTTTCCTCAGGTGGCCTCTTATGCCGCCGTGACAGCGAAGAGAGCCGTAGGTGGGATGTTGAGTGCAGAAAGAGCACTTCTTGGGTGCGGTGTTTCAGACTCTCCACTATTAATTTATATTTTAGAGAGGAAAATATTGGGCGAATTTTCTAGATTTCTTAGTTTTTAGCATCATAAAACTAATTATATGGATGTATATGTAACTATGTATATATTTAAAAGAAAAGGTTTTATGAAAAGGTTTTAAGAAAGGTTTTTATGTTTATATCAGTCTCTGCCTGAAGATGGTGCGAATAATAAGCCACCGAAACGTCGCATTAAAAAAATTTTTTGTTTAAAATAAATAAAAGGTTATACAACTCATGAAGTTCGCTTTATTAAACATAAAATAACCATGAAATTAGAATTATACATACATATATATATACACATGAATTTGAATGGCATATATTTTCGTGATCTACGACCCGTGATCGGTGCTCTTCACAATGTCTCAGGTCTGGATTCGACATCATGGGAGAATGCAATAGTGTATTTCCTTCGGAAAATACACTAAAAAAAAATCAGTAGAAGTGAATTCTATGCGTTCCCTTCGCCACCATTGCAGAGGAACGCACTGCGTGTCTTATCAGACACTCTTTCATCAAAATATTGAATCTCGAACTCGTCATTAATAGTGACGCAATCTGCCAGCGCTTGATTGCTTGAAAAACAGTATGTTTGTCAATCGATATTACACAAGCATCTTTTAGAGGCCCTGTTCCGAGCGTGGGACAGTGTTTTCGAGAGTTTTCTCGAAATTCTTCGGAATTGCGTCTCTTGATGAATGTCAAAGGAACGATGGGAAGTCTTGTTTTAATGATTGAAATGGGAACTTAACTCCCGAATTACGGATCGGGATCTACTTTTTGTGCGCACTCAAGCAATTCTAGAGACGAACAGAAACTTTCGGGAATTTTCCCGGGAAATTTTATTTACTCGTACCTGTACTAATTTTGTCTTTGTTTTGTTTTGTTGCAGTGCATCTGGAACCAGTGCAGTTGCGATCGATAACAAAATCGAACAAGCAATGGTAAGATTTGTTCCTACTCTTCCCCTCTCACTCATCTCATTTTAATCACTCGACCGAAAATTTGGATTTTTGGTCGGAAAATTTGGTTACGTGTAACCTAACTACAGGAAGTGTTATTCTGCCGTGCTAAGGAAAAAAGTCGTATGAACATTTGAGAGTTGCCAAATTTCCCCGAATTAAGCATGGATTTTTGAATGACGTTATGCGTATTTTTCCTTGAAATTTCCAGATATTTTAGAGAAAATTGCGAACAAAATTTTCTGAAAAATTGGAGGGAAAATACTCAGAATTTTCCCAGAGAATTCGTTTTTTATTAAAGGAAATATGTTAACGCCTGAATGCTCATACGACGTTCTTCCTTAGTGCGGCAGTATTGGCCGTAGTTGCTAAGGCACACCGCTTTAAAATAAAAGAATATCACCACCTATACTATTACTACTGTTCCTTCTTATTTTTTTTCCTTTATTCTTTGTCTGCAATGACCAAAATCACAGAATGAAAACAAAGCACTCGAAATTCCATTGGTTTTGACAGAAGAGTTTATCGAGCATCACTGATAGCGTAAAAATTGCCACTGTTTTACATTAGGTATCACTAATCATTATTTTTGTTATTGGCCTTCGTGCGGTCAGGAGCAAGACATGAGTAACCCTGCGTTAAAATGTTCCCTGGATAGGGCTGATATCTCATCGTCTTAGCAGTTTTTTAGAGTGTTATCAGTTATGTTCTCCCACAGCTGATTTCCTGCATTCACAAAGTTCAGTCTTTTCGTTTATCTAGCCGAAACACGTCCCAGGAGCATGGGCGCGGAGTGCCATCACAATAGTCAACAGGCACTCATAAGTTGGGAACAAACAACTGGAATTCTGTGCATTTTAGAAAAATGTGCACGTGGACTCGGGTGTGGTAGAGAAAAATGAATCCTACTTAGTTTTATTTCGGATTGAATTATTAAAAGAACCCTCCCCCCTTCTTCTTTTCCAGTCTGGAGGGTTTAGTGATTATTAGAGTACCTATAATGATTATTACATAACGGATGATTACATTTACCGTAGCTTAACTGGTCATACTTGCTCCATGAGAGGTAACGGCAGAAGATGAAGTAGAGGGAACTCTTTTAAACTCAATGTTTGCCTGACACTCTGCATTTTGGAACTTTGTCTCCTTAGAGAAAGCTACTTACAACTTTAATCCGTTGCAACGTTGCATTTAATAGTCTCCTGACTACATAGCTCCTCGTGTAAATTTGAAAAAATGTTTCCCCCCTCCCCCCCACACACACAGACTTTCTATTTTTTTTTTTCATCAAATTCAAGAATTTGTCTCCCATTTTAAAATCCTGTAAAGAAATTTTATCCCGATCAGTAAATTATATTTTGGTTTTTGAACCGTTCTTTATGTAGAGTTAACTGAGAGCAAGGAAAAAAAGAGAGAAAAAACCCCATGAAAATATCATAATATATGCAACTAACGTAGGGTAACTGGCGCTCTTTCAATTAATTGCTAGTTGTGCCAACTGTTTTAATTTTTTCTGCCTTTTATTGCACTACGTGGGACTCTCTCTTACCCTATCTTTACTCGCTCACCAAGCAGTTCTATACCCACTCCCATGCCCACCTTATTGAGTGCTTTTCATAATTTATGAATGCTCCCTAAATGATACTCTACTTCGTGGCTGATTATAAGTAATATTTTAATTTTTGTGTGTTTCAGGACCTTGTCAAAAGTCATTTGATGTTCGCTGTAAGAGAGGAAGTGGAAGTATTGAAAGAAAAAATTTCGGAACTAATGGAGCGGATAAACCAGTTGGAGGCGGAAAACACATTGTTGAAGCAAAACGCATCACAAGAAACGCTGGCGCAGCTGCCGACGCCAGCTCAAAATCAGCCTCCCAGCAATGTTCCTTAAATTGTTCCGACAAGATGCCTGTAAAATGTCTGGCATCGATGGTGGAATTGCGTCCGTCATTTTCTTGATCTAGTCCATTTTTTTTTTTTTGTAATTTAGTATTCTGTCTGACGACGGATACTGTTTTGTACAGTGACTTGTACACTATGACTGTTGATTCATCTGTCAGCACTGAAAGCGACGAAGAGGCAAACGGGAACTTGAATAGATGGGTGAAGACCAAGTGCAAGAAATGACACGACAAAATGACTCTTGATGTCATAAATTTGTTCTTGCATTATGTATGAAAAGCTATAGAACAGAGCTAAAAGGAAGTATATTTGAAATGAGTCTTAATATTTACATGGAGGAAGGATGTAACCTCCATGTGAAGATACCATGATTCAGCTCCCGTCTATTTGTTTCCTTGCAAGCTATAAAATGAAGTATGGTGTATTGGAACAAATTGTTGTCTCTTCATCCTCTTGAATTCCGGTGTTAGCAGAGTTCAGTCCCCGAAAAGGACCTCCCAGAAAGTAGGCAAGTTAAAGTTGGATTTAAGCATATTGTCCGAGACAATCAGAAGTTCCTGATGTCCTAGCTTTTATCTAGAGAAAGTTTTCGACTGTAAGTCGAAATTTTGTGTTTGGAAATCTCATGTTTACCTGTGTTACTCATAGTTTTCTCAAGATTGGACGAAAAGAATTTTAAGTTATCTAATGGATTTGAAATTTAATTATAATTCTTGATCATTTATATGTGTGTTGTACACACCCTAATGATTTAATCATGAATTTTCCAATGCTATATGACAAAGTCTTTGATTTCTTACTTTTCACGATTTCTTCAGCTAATCAGAAAATTATGAGGGAAAAAATCTTACAGAGGATTACCTAACACTTCTTCTCTCTCTCTCTTTTTTTTCTTGATCTCCAGTTTCAGGTTTTCTTTATCCATATTTTTTTAGTACACATCCCCTCTCTAATTTATTCGCTTTCCTCACTTTTTTTTTCGCAAGGTTGTTACTGCTTCCATTGTCAATCTTTTTAAAATCAATAGGAAGTTTGTGATCATGTAATCCATCTACAACCTCATAATTAAGTTCATTTCTTTCGAAAAAGGCTTTCCCTCCTCCGTTAGAATTTATATTTTGATACTAAAAAGAACAAGATCCTCTTTGTCATACCATTATTACAATCATAGGTAATAAAATACAGTCCCTCTTCTTATTTTTTTTACGTTGTTAAAGATGAACATTAACTCCGGAGTTTTCCTCCAATCTTGTAGGAAATTAAACCACCTACTCCTCTAAATTTTATCATAAACTTTTTTTTTTCTTGCACAAGTAACTTTGCAGAGCTATGCTCTGTCCACATTTTCACCATTTTTTAATCATAAAACGGTGACCTATTAAGTTGCCCCTCGTATACTTTGATCAAAAATTGGAATTGGGAATATTCAAGTAAAGTATAAAATGCAACCTCCCTCCCATTATTTTGGAAGTACCTGCTCTGTCAATCTTATCACTGTCATTTTAAATAGAAATTTAAAGAAATAAAAATCCAATCATTTATTCTGTAAGATAAAATCCACCTCTCAGAATACTTCAAGCATTATTCTCCCCTTAATTATCTGATACTGCTTCAAAACTCTTGATGCATCATCATTTTGATTTTTTATCTAATCTTGCTAAATTTCTTCAATCAACCTTAATTGTAATATTCACATAATGTCTTTAACACCATGCTTGTTGTAAGCATTTTACTCATAAGGAAAAATGGGTTAATTTTGAAAATCGCATCAATCTCATAGATTTATTTTCTTTTTCAAATTTTGGTAAACGTTTAACCATGAATCATTATTTAAGAGTTAACTTATTCTCCTCATAATTCAGCTATTATATTTTTTTAGAAAGTAATTTTCTATTCTGAGTATTCTCAGTATGCGTGATCATAAGTTATTGTTATCACCTGAGCATATATCTTTCCCGCAAACATTTTGCTGTTCCAACAGTATTTTTGATGTTGTCTCATCAATTCTATCAGTCTCTCATATTTTGTCGATTTTACCATCGCTCCATAACCTTAACTCTGAAACACAGGATTATCATAAAATAGCCCCTCCTCAAATAGGTGTAGAGCTTTGTTATTTTGTTCCCTTCTTGCTCACCTGATCGTGATTGATTGCAGAAAAGCTCTATTAGAGGGTTGGCTAACCTAACAGATACTATTCGACCTGTAATTATATATTTCATAGCTTTTACACACATTAGATCACACAATGAGGGGGCTTCAAAGACAGCACAGAATTCTTATTAATATATATCTATCTCAACCTTTCAGCTTTTACTCCACTATTCCAACATTTCCAGTTAGAGTCGCACTGACATTGTAAACAGTGTATCAATTAGATCAAAATTTGGGCAAATTTGAAGTTTTGTACCCAAAAAATGACTTAAGCTTGAGCTCATGTCTAATGGATCATTTTTAACCCACACAATTAGAGAATTCACCAAGAAGAAAAGTATTGCCTTTGACACAGGCTTCAACTGCTGTATCAAAGGTAATAATTATCTTCAAGACAAATTAGATTTTTTCCGAATTTAGCTGCTTTTTTGCAACTCAGGATTAAAAAAAAGGATTTGCATCGTTGCACTTGCTATCATCATGTAAAACTCTTTAAGTTTGCCTAGAACTTTGATCTGACAGATAGGATGTAGAAAATGTCAGACAGTCAAACCCTGACTTGAATTAGCTTAAGAAATTTAAAACTTTTCCTCCAAGCTCTTCTCAGTCATGCGTCCCTTTTTCTAAATTTAACCTAACATTAATTTGATTTTAAAAGCACACATCTGTGAAACCATGATTTGAGCCTATCATTGCTCTGCTAAAAACATTAGTGTACCTACAGCTTTTTTAATAGCTCCAGCTAATGAACAAAAAGCTTGCTTTGCCGAGCTACTAATCCTAAAACAGTTTGGTGATAATTTATTTTAAGTTATCTGTAGTCAAATTTTAACAATCGTGGTAAGGTATCGTTTGTATGATAATCACTATTTATATTTATTTTTTATTTATGAACATTGATATTGTCACCTCCATTGCTTTGTAACGTCAGATCACGCTCTGATGATTGTGGTCTAATAATCCTAAAAAATGTATCCTAATATACTGCTATTACTTGTAAACGCCTTGACTAGAATAAGTAAGAAGATATTATTCTCCGTTACCATTCACAATCTTTTAAAAGGAAGCAATGTTTACTTTTTAATATAATACTGAGAAATCAGCAAAAAAAAAAAAAGTATTTTAAGATAAAAATACTTCTGTCTCCAACTTTATGCCCCACTTTATTCTGCCGTGCTGAGGAAAAACGCCACATGGGCCTTCACCCCTTCAGGCATTGTCAAATTTCCTTTGATGAAACTTACATTTTCAGGAAAACTTTGGAATATTTTCCCCCCAATTTTACAGAGAATTTAATCCGCAATTCAATCTAGTGCCTGAAAATTTCAAGGAAAAATATTCATGAATTTTCTTAAAAATGAATGGTGCACAGGGAGAAATTTGGGAACATCTGGATATTCATACAGCGCTCTTCCTTAGCACGGCAGTATTAATAGTAAGGTAGTTTCATAGTTTCATATAAAGAATATCTTGCACAAGAAGGGACCTTCTGAGCCATGTTATACACTGCAGTTTAGTGAAATTCATTTATGAAGATAGAAGTATTCTCTTATAGTTGAATAAAACACCTAGAATTTGTATCATCATTTACAGCAATACAGTTTCTCTCAAGAAAATGCTCACCATGAAACATGAAAAAGAGTCTATGACAATTTGTAACAACTTTATATGATGGGCATTTTCCTATACTCCAGGCACTCCGTACTCCAGGCTGTGTGAACTTTTGCAAAGTTCATTGCTAAATTGTCCTGTGACGTAAACAAATTGGGAAGGAACTGTTTTTGAAACTTTGAATTTATCAAATATTGGTAGCAATCTCTCAAAAGGTCCCTGGTTAGTATTTTTTTTCTTTCTTTCTTTATTCCTAATCACCCTCCCCAAGAATTTGCAAGGAAAATATTCACACATTTATAGCACACTATGTTTCATCAGTAGAATTCTGTGTGTTTAAATATTTTCCTCATAAACCTCCCTCCCTCTTTTAAAATATGTGAAAGATTCGAACTTTCCTGATAATGAGGAGTGTAATATGTAATGAGGTATTTTGTATTATCTTTGGAGGAAAGCAATCATTGAGAGGTTTAGTTTTGTTCTATTAAAAAATTAGAAGGGGGTTAATTTTTGAAAATTTCTGGTGGTCAATTATCAAAATGCCTCAAGAAAATTACGATTAAGAATCCTAGTAACCTTAGAAAAGGTAAGAAAGGTTTGATGGCTGTGTTAAAACAGAAAAACAAGATACTTGTTTATTCTATTTTCCTACTTTGTAAATATTTGTGATGGTTATATTATTATGTCCTTTTTTTGTTATTTTTTATTTATTTTTTTTTTTAAATTTGTTATATCAACATCATGTTAATTCATTTTTTGTGGTGAAGTATTTTCCACATATTTTCTTTCAATCATCTCCTTCATAGAACTTTTTTGCCCTCTGTTACTTTTATCCCAATTTGTTGTAATGGTTTTATTCGTTTTTCATGTGAACAGCCTACTTGATTTATTTTTTCCCTCATCCTTATTATTTACCCATTACAACTGAAGTCCAAGAGCTCGTCAAACTGAACTCGTTAAGTTTTAATTGATGAAATCACTTAAACATCAAATCTTTAAACTTTTTTCTCCTTCTTCAGCTGTAACTGAAAAATTTATACTTCTCAGTTGGTGATTGTTTTTAAATTAAATTCAGCAGTGAGATGAAATAATCCATGACCATCCTTGCTCAATATTTCTTCAAGGATAAATTAGTGTATAAATTCAAAATCAAATATCTTGACAAAGTTTGTAATCCAAGTCATTTAGGAATCTTATGTTGGTTTTTGGTAAACAAATAGAGGGCTTCTGCTGTGAAAAAAAGAATAAATAAGGCTGTGTGATGGAAGGAGCTAGAAATACAGTCATGTTGTCATGTGAATGGAAGAGATCTTTAATCTGGAAGATATCTGCAAGGCAACTTTGCACCATAGATCCTAGTCACTTTGATCATACAAAGTAACTGCTTCTACCAGCTCTTCTAACAGCAAAATATTTAAAGTGTATCGTGAGATTTTGTTAGTACAGATCAAATCAATCTGATTGATGAATTTTTTCTTTTAGGAAGAATTTTGATATGTACTGCAACTTCATATAAATTTGCAAGTACTGGCTTTAAAATTACAGGAAGGAGTTGATTGGAACCTTTACTCTCTTTTGTTCTCAATGTTGAATTGTTTGTATTTTCACTGAAAAATCTTTCTCACAACATTTCTTTTCAAATAACTTATAATATTTGAGGCTACCACCTGCCTCTGCAATCGAATCTATCTTGACTTATTCCTGCAAACTACATCTCCTCCTTGCCACAGTCCTTCATATTTCTAGATCATCACCCTAACTGAAAGCTTTAGCAACTTCCAAATATTTGATTGAAATATAATTGAGGATTACAAAGAAAACACAGTAAAAATGTGTTTGATTTGAATTTCTAGCCTTCAACCAATTCTCCTTATTCGTAACTTTCTTAATTTTTCTTTGTCGCTTAATTTTTTTTCCTCATTGTTTTTGTTTGAAAACTCAAAATATTTTGAAGACGATAAACTCGCTTCTTTTGACCAACGCATATTAAAATATGAGAGGAAGAGGTGTAATTAAGCTTAGTCTATAGCTGAGTTATTACACATTATTTTTTAAATTTATTTGTATATTTTGAATGTAAAGCTTGTACAGTTAGTGTGAATGATTAATTCTAACCTTTTGTAAACTTCACGAACATTTGAATTTAGCTTGTATTGCTAGCATAAATTAATTGATGATGATATAGGTATTACTTTTAGTTTTTACCAAACTGTATTCAAGCAGTGTTTATAAGTCTGACATGTTTGTTGTATATATTTGACTTCGATTGTATGTATAAAATTTCCTTGAATATATGGATTCAAAACACCTCATTCATTATTTTTTCAATCCTTACAAGATACTTTTACCTTTTTCTCAAGTAAAGCCCTAATCCTGTAATACTTCTTTATATTTAAAGAAAATTGACATCGATGACTTCACTGGAAAACCACCTGTTTTGATTTGCGGCTTTGCCAATTTTCCGTCAGGCTCAATTTTTTTTATCAGAAATCTAATGAGTATAATTTTTTAAACTGTCGTGATATTTCCTCTTCGTTTGCTAGATATTCTTTGAGACTTGGAAGTAATAAACTCAGCAAAAAGTTTCCTCTCAAAAAAATAGGTGGTTTCCAAGCTTAACCATAAATATGCTGTTGTAACCAGTTTAATGGATTCCGTAAAGTTGTGTGAAAAGAAGAATGGGGAAAAGTTAAATCCTCCCAAATTTGATCCTATGATCTTTTTGTCCCATTTTCTTTTTCTGTGATAAAGTATGAGCTAATTTACGTTGTTGGAATGGCCTTCAACTTCTTATCTTTTTTTCTACTGAATTGAAGAAAGATGACACATTCAAACTTATCTGTCCACTCTCGTCTATATCGCAATTAAATTTAATGCAACATAGTCAACTTTGGAAATGAATCACAATATGCAAATAAGGAACTGTTATTCCTGGTGCTTTTTAAAATCAAAGTGTGTGCCATTAGTTTGCCAATACTTAACATACTTTAATGGAGGTGCCATAAATAATTGTTATTTATCGCTTGAGATAGTCCACCTGGACAACATGAAGCAGATGAGATCTTTCTACAAAGGGAGTTGTGAAAAAATGTGCATTTCCTAAACTACTCCTTTGTGTCATACATTGTTTTTCAAGCGAGTTTTGTAGGGAGATCTCCTTTGCCAAGTGACATCCACACTACTCGTGGTCAAAAACTCCAGTATTCCTTTGCCAGCATATTTCTTTTATTTTGCTCAATACTGGAGACTTGAAGTTCTATCCAAAGTGTGTTTTTTTTTCATAATCCCTGCTTGCTCCGGAAGTGGGCTAAGTAATTTCTGAGGAGAAAAATTTTCTGAAGTCGTTGAATCCATTAAAAATTGTTCTCATGTTTCGTTTCAAGAACGATCACCTAAAATCCCATGTAGCAAAGAATACAAAAGTACAAGTCTGATAGCAGTAAGTAACTTGCAAGAAAGTAATTATTTAATGTTTAAAAATTGGGTGCAAAAGTACTCATCCCCTAAGAGTCATCAAAAATGGTAATTCAACTGCAACTCAATTCAAAAAATAGTCTTTATAATAAAGCTCATCTATGCTCTGCATGACCGGTTTGTAGTAGTTCAGTGGCAGGAAAATTGCGATCAACAGAAAATTAATGGCGGTATACTCTTTTTATCAATACCAATCTTGATTTGCTGTCACATGGGACTTGTTACAATTATTTTTTCACTATAGGTAGGTAGCTAGGTAAAATATTTTAAACATTTCATAACCATAACTTGCCAATGATTTTACAAAATAAATTTAATAATGATAGGAAAATTTGATCAAACTTTCATGGTCATAGATAAATACAAAAAAGAGTAGCACAGTGTGGCAGCAGGAAAGTAGGTAATCACTGAAAGTTAAAAATCTATAATTTCTCAAGACATGCAAAGGAAGGATTTGGAACTGAGATCAAAAATCCTTGGGAAGTCGAGAAATTACAACAACAAAAAAAAAATTATCTTTCTCCTCAAAGAAATCCTTTGGTCAAGTGATGATCAGATATTTTTGCATCCCACTTTGTGTAGGTATGTCTACACATACCCATTATTAGCGGTTCTTGAGGCTTTGCAGTCATCAACATCTTGAGTGTGCAAGTGGCTCATTTTGGAAGGAAAGAAAAAAATTTGCGGAAGAAGCACTGAGCACTTTTAAATTAAATTGACATAACTCATATAGTGATGTAAGTAAATATTGACTGAGATTGTCATCGGAGTAGGTACTTATATGAGGTAAATTACACATAGGTGGTAGTTATATAAAGGGATGGGTAATTATTTAATGGGTTTGAATTATTACTTAACCACACTGGGTTGTTCGTAAAACATAACAAAATAAACCTCAGCTACTATTAAAACGAGTGGGAGGAAGTATTTTTTTTTTCCAGCTCCCTGAAATCGTGACGATTTATACTTGAATTCATCTCACGTCAGTATTCATTCAAGTTTCAATGACTCCTTTCTTGAAATCTCTCAAGACCTCTTAGGAACATATCCTCAAAGAGAGAACTTGTTTGGCTCGCAGTCAGAGATGCAAAATTTTACAAAAGTTGATAAAATGATATGCCATAAAACGCAGTGACGTGCAGAAACTGTAAAATCTTAATTTTGAAATTTTGGGAGGGGGGGAAACCATGAGTTAAATTTTAATTTTGAAATTTTGGGGGGAAAATCATGAGTAAAATTACGAAGTAGTCTGTAAAGTTCTCGGAGGATTTCTGCAGGTCGAATACGTGGCCCCTGAAAAATCGTTGAAAAGAAGTGAACATGCTGCATGAAGTTTTACTTCTCTGCAAAATTAGATTTCATTTAACTTCATTTGAAATTTCATTTTGCATCGCCCTGGCCTGCACCATGTACCTACTAAAAGGACCGACAGAATACAGGGGAGAATTTCATGAGCCGCCCTGCGCCGCGCCGTCCGCATGGCGCATGGCAAACGACCCGCGCATTCATAAAATCACTTCATGTAGCGTCGAGAGTTCACTAATTATTTCACACGTAATTTTTCGCCGGTGTGTAATTTTAAAAGTCGAAAAAAAAAAAAAAAAAAAAAAAAAAAAAAAAATACACGATACACGAGTTTCTTCGCCAGGGAGCTCTCCCCGCAAGAAATCGTTCACCACCCGCCCGCCGGGAGAGCCGCGGCGTGCAGCTCGAAACGCGCATCGACGCCTACAAACCTAAGTGGATACTTCACGCATTGCGCAATGATTGAAGTATCCACTTAGGTTTGTAGGCGTCGATGCGCGTTTCGAGCTGCACGCCGCGCGCGCTGCAGCGTGTCTGTTGCAAAGTAGGCAATTTGACATCAAATTCAAAATTAGCGAATAAAAGAACATCAGGCACGAAACTTTCGTGATCTTTCGGTCATTATCCGACTTATTTCTTAATATTCTTGAGTTTTGGACTCCCGAGGGCGGCGGCGGCCGCTTTTCATTTGAAATCAACTTTAGTGTTCATGTTCAGGCACACCGTGCAGGGTTTTGAAAAGTTACAGTTACACTACTCTAGTTACCCTAGCACTACACTACTCAATCCCCCTCCTTTAAAAAAAAAGCCGCAATTTATTTGAAATTTATTTTAAAAGAAATTGTTGATTATAAAGACAGTTGAGAGGAGAATAAATCAAGAGAAGATGGAAGAAATATTTCAAATTTCATGACAACAAGTGCATCTCGTTTCTGTCATGTTGGTACTCGATGCATTTATTTGTAAATATCATTGGTAAATATCAGTTTTTACGTGTGTTGTTGTTTCTCATCGCAATGGCCAAAGACGTCGACGTGGCTGCTTCAAAAAATGAAGTATTTAGAAGAATTCACATGTGGGAACAGCCCGAAAACTCGCTGGCACCATTAACACCGAAGCAGCGAAATGTCTGCCTTGATCTCTCCGAGAAAGTTACCTCAAGACCAATCCCCAAAGAGGTAATCAAATAACCTAACCTTTAAAGCTCATTTTGGTTTTACCTTTTAATTTTATACGAGATAAATATGCAATTTTTCCGCATGGCTACGTAATTTTGGAATGTTCCTCCTCTGTTTTACCCAACTATGTCCGTCTACGGTCTTACAGTCTACGTATGCAGATAAGCTGACAGTCAAGTCACTTGGTAACTACTGCACCTCTGCAATCGTCACCGCCCATTGAAGTAACTGATTAGTTTCCACTCTGCACTTCAAATGCACATAATGACAGATCACTATGACTCGGACCCTTCATTTCAATCACAGCTTGCACGCTGTTTGCTTGAGAAGGAATACTTCAATTCGAAGAATCAATTTTTTATTGATTCTAAAGGAGGAGTCGAGTGTTCAGCAGAGATTCACTCCTGAATTCCGAAGGCAGGACTTACAAAAAATCCTGCCGAATTTCCATCGCAAACTGTCTGGTGCGCAGTCGGGAGCATCGATGTTCCCTTTCTGCAGACTCTAGGCACTCCGCACCCGGAGAAGGATTTTCTGTCAGTCCTCGCCTCAGGCAGAGATTCAGCCCCTGAGCTCTGAAGGAAAGGCTGACAAAAACTCCTGCGGACCAAGACGGAATCTTTTAAAGTGAAACGTCCCTTTATGTAAAAGAAAAATCTGCACAATTGCTCTTCTTTTATTTACAGGGTACGGAATTCGAAGTAAAACGACCGTAGGCGTAAGGAATACAAAAAATACTAATAGGAAATTTCAAAATTACTCTTTGGGGCCGTCCATAAATTACGAAAGGCAATTTTTCCGATTTTTATGACCCCCCCCCCCTCTTCTATTGTTTAAATGCATAATTTAATATAAAAATGGTGTTGAAACAAATCGGTATTGTTTTAAACATTACTAATCGCTGGTAGGAGATCATGAAAAATAGCAGTTGTATTGAAAAAATAACAGTTTTTTAATTCAAAAAGTTCAGAAAAATTACATTTTAACCGAAAAACATTAAACGTCTAAAAAACGAAATTTGGACTAGTAAGTCTTTAAATTAACGGAATTTGGAAGAAACAAAATTTTTGCGTTTGGCTTACGTATAGGCATAGGTAAGGCACCTCTGGACCCCCTCCCGGCTCCCTGTAAGTGCATTAGGTACGTAATTTGCGGACGGCCCCTTTGTAAAGGCATACTTACATTTATTTGTTTATACTGCCCACTAATGTTACATTTATTTCTGTCTTCGGAGTCTGCTTTTTCCTCTAAAAAAAATTATTGGACGGTCTACGTAAGATTAGGGCCTTACACCCTAGGTCCAGAGGTTTCTCTGCAAGAGGAGCCCTTTTCAATTACGTGCGCAAAAATGCACGCCTCACTCTTATTTTATGGAAAAAAGTATTTCTTTACGGCCACTCGCGGCATTTATGACATAATGTGTAATTTAATGACGTCAAAAAATTCCGAGATTAAGGCGCGAACCGCGGACCTTCCGGCCCGGAGGCGAGCGCTTTGCCACGGAGCCACGAAGACAGTTGAGAGGCTATGATAAAATTGCTAATAGATAAGTGCAATTGAAGTTCTCTCTTTCTCCACCAGAGCTGAGAGCATACGCGCATCGGTGTCACGCTCCCGCTTACTGATGATCTGCGGCAGGATTTTCTGTAAGTCTAGCCTTCCGGGCCAAGAGTGAATCTCTGCTAAACTCAAACGCCCTAAAGGAGGGTACGGATTCAATCGACATGAATCGATCGAAAAATGAAAACGTGAATCGATCGACACCGATTCGATCAACAAATTGTCAAAAAACTGGTGTCGATTCGATCGGCATGAATCAAACAAAAAATGAAAACGTGAATCAATCGACAAATTGTTAAAAAAACCGGTGTCAATTCGATCGACATGAATCGATCGAAAAATTTAAACGTGAATCGATCGGCACCGATTTGATCGACAGTTAATGTAAAAACACTCGGATCGATTCGATCGACATGAATGGATCGAAAAATGTAAATGTGAATCGATCGACACCGACAAAATCCGATTGACAAAATTCGATTGACTCAGGGGTTTGTCGATCGATTCACCGGTTTGTGGATCGACTCAAGGCTTTTGTCGATTGATTCACGGGTTTGTCATTCGACTCACGGCTATTGTCGAACGATTCACGGGATTGTCGATCAATTCATGGGTTTGTCGATCAACTCACGGCTTTTGTCGATAATCTGACTCAAACACATAACATTTTTGAATGCCTCCATCCATACTAATGAAAGTTTAAGCTGAACCTATGTTTGGAATCTCTTTTGCTGAATCTTTCATCTTTCTTCTTTTTTTTCCAGCTATCTCTCAATGTATCACAAGAAAGTGAAGAAAAAGCGATTGGTCATGAAGATGAACTAGTGTTAAATGGAGCCAAAATGCAAACTGCAGAGGAGGTAAGTAATCAATAGCTAAGTTTCAGATTGGCAAATGGTTGCCTTAGCTATTACATTTTTCAGCATCGAATTCAGTAAAACACGGCATATTGACAGTGAAACTACCAGACCACGTATCTCGGTTTGCGACATTGCAGGCCTCCTATTATGCTTTTTTTTCTCGATAGAAAACTACTCAACATCAATTCTTGAAAACTTTTGTCATTTTTCTTCTCTTGAAAAAAACTTTGTGAAAACTTCAAGGAGTGATATTGATTAGTTCTCCCTCCAAGAAATAAAATGGGAGCGGAGATTTTCATACACTACAAACGAGGTATGTAATTCGGTAGTTTCACCGTCAATATTCTCATGATAGGGAAAAGATTAGAGGGGAAGATTCACATTGTCTATCTAGAGTTGAATGTCCTCTAAGTGAAAAGAATCAGAGCCTAGATTATAAATTGCAAGGAGCAAAAAAAGTCAGCTTTTTTTCTCTCCTTTTGCACCATTCTTATGAAAGAAACCTTGTGGTGTCTACTCTAATTACGTTTAAGTACTTTTAGAGTGGAACAGAAGATCCACCATTTTGTTTCTTGTACTCTTGTTTGATGCTAAACTGAGGACAGCTGATCTTCTGTCATACTTTAAAAGTGCTCAACATATTTGGCATGAACTCTAATCAGTCGGGAGTCACAAATCAAATGATTACATAAACAAAAAATTCTGTGGGCAAATGTATTTTAAAAATTTAAAGTGTCAGTAGGTATTTACAGAGATTAGATTGGCTAAAATATGAAGAGGGTTAAGAATTTTTATGGGATTATAGAGAATATTGCCTTGCAAGCTCAGAGCAAGGACTTGGCAGAGATTCCTTTACGGAAACTGAGCACAGGGTTGTACACCAGTCAAAATTCCTTCTCAGCCTTTTCATACCCATTTTCATGACTTAGATCTGTAAGCTTCCGCATTCTATATCCGGTAGGTACATTTCAGTCCTTGGTATAACAATATAAACTGGATTTTTGAGCACTCTGATACAAAGTGTGTGTGCTGAATGCTCGGAAATGCATGAAAAGTCAACAGCTAAGCTCAGGGAAAAAATGTATTTTCTGATCCCTCTAAGATATTTCCTTTAATTTTCAAGTGATACCTTATTTAGGATACAATGTTTCAACTGATTTTCAAGCAAGCAGCCCACTCCTGTATGTACTAATTTGATCAGAATAGTCTTCAAATGTTGATGCATTTCTAAATTTTGTGGCACCTTTAACTCACAATCTCTGAAGTCTCTGCTGTATTTGCTTTTCAGTTAATGCTATGGTGCATATCTATGGAGGATGAACTTCTCAAAGATAGTGATGTGGCTTACAGTTCAAATCTAGAAAAACTGAAGGAGCAGCAAGGAGTTTGTTCAGACTTACTAGATAAGGTGCGTTTGAAAAACTAAGCCCTGTCCACACGAGCGTAGTTTAGACAAATTAGTTCTGTGAACTGAGGGTTCCAGGAACAAATTATAGCTGAGTTATAACAAGTTCCTAGAACTTGTTCACCCGAAGTTCCTCCAATTGCACTCGTGTGGACAAGGCCTAATGAATCTATTCTTTTATTTATCAACCAGAAAAATCAATCCACATTCAAGAAAAAATCTAGGTAGGAGAAATAATCAGGGGTGCCGAAATTTTTTGACTGTGAGACCAGTGCATTGCACAAAGAAAGGGCCATGAGAAAGAGTTTTGAAAATGGAAGGCTGGTTTGTATAAACTGGTAATTAATAGATAGCTCAAAGAAAAAAACCATGCATGAAGAAAAACTGTCTATGAGCACAGGAAATTTGAAGAAGGGTGTTACAAGCTATGCAGATTGCGCATTGAGGAATGAACCTCAGACAGATTTTATCCAACGTGTGATTTTCATGCGATTTCTCTCGCAGCAAGTCTATCAATTTGGCTGGACCTCTTGCGTGCAATAGACCCACTAAGTTCTATTTTTCTATGCCTCTCTAGTTTAGCAAAAATTAGTCAATACATCCCCTTAAAATTTTTGTGAATATTTTTTATTGAGTGAAGAAAATTCTCAGAATATTTCAAGAATAACTGTTTCTAAGCTTTTCTTTGAAACTACAAGACATGAGCAGAGATTTGCAACATCGCAATCTGCGATGCACATTTTTTACTGAAATCATTAACCCATTCGCCTCACATGACGAGTTTACTCATCAGCGGGCGCCTAAGACATCATCTCAGCTGACGAGTTACTTCGCACCATTTTCGGCATTCCGACTCTTGAGATGCCTTCTATCGGAAAATTGAAAAACCACTGGCAAAAAAATCGCATAGCAACGCTGATAGATGCCGCGAATTAACTCATCAACTGAGATATGTCCCGCACGCGCGCTGACGAGTATACTCGTCAAATGAGGCGAATGGGTTAATTTATAGAAACAGTTTCTGCGCCAATCTTTTCACAACTATCTTTTCAGCACCTCTGCAACATCATAATTTTTAGTTGTTGGACAAATTATAAATATTTCGTTGGTGAAGGTGATGCTTTGTGGCAATTTAACCATGGATGGAGTGAACCACCTATTCATATCAAGGTTTCTCTGTTCTGTGTACTGGAGTCAAAACTCTAGTGATGAATCATTCCACCTGAAGGAAACATTTTGTTCAAACGTTTTGTGGAGCTGTAGGGTCATAATCTAAGAAAACATTTTTATTGCTCTACAATCCAATACTCACCTGTCAGCTACCCGCACCAAAATTAAGAAGGCTGTCAGACGCAAGCACCTGACACTGACAGAACAAAGTCTCTGTCAGTATCTATAGTTAGATCTACTAGGAGTGCATTAGTAGGAGCCATCAATTTTTATATCATGTATCCCTTGTAAGTATAAAATTATTTACATAGCAACAGTGAAGAAGTAGGCTGTATGAATGAAACATGTTCATGTTCGTTTTATCTGTCTCATTTACAATTAATTTTGATTCTATCCATGCAGATCGGAACTTCTCTGGGCCATTTGAAATCATTGAAGTCCGAGTATGATGCTGTTTCCAGTTGCACTAATGCGCTTCATGATGCTTGTCAACAACTGCTAACTCAACAGGTCTGTTTAGTTTTTCCTTTTTGCTTGTTCATCATAGGATAGTAATGAGGCGTTATTTATCCTCTTTTATAGGTACGATGAATCACAAGAGAAATTATATTTTTTTAAAAGTATCAGTGGCCTAACTTCATTCTAAAATTATAGGAGCTGTGTATGGTTAACTTTCCAAAATGCTGTATAATTTTACAAAGTGCATGATCAACTCAGAAATTAACATTGAAATTAAAATCAATCTTCTGTAGGACTGAAGCCTTATTTTAAGGACTTTTTACGCATTTTTTCTGGTGAAAGTAGAAATCTCCTCTCTAGGAAGTGAGCTTTTTTTTAATCATGGATTTTTGTCGTGTCCATTTCTCTACACTTTTTTCTTTTTTTGATGGAAAATAAAATAATCCTAATTTGTTGTTTGTTACCAATAATGCTCTCAAATTCAATTTTCCCGTACTTTGCTCTTAAAATTTGATCCTTCACAAAAAGTGTCACTCTTGTCTTCAAATTGATTTTTTAATTTAGTTCCTTTTTGTTTCAGACTAAACTAAGCGAAACAGCAGAAGCTATTGGAGAACAACTCCGTAGATTCAAAACTGTTGATAGTATCACCCAGCAACTAGATGCCCCAACATTATCAATTTACAGCGAATCTTTCATTTCAATGCTTGACCACCTAGATCAGACTCTCATCTACCTAAAAGAACATGTGAGTAAACATAAATTTGTTAAGAATAAGAAAAATAAGTCCATGGCATTTTAGATTGATTCTCCACATTTGTCAGAATAGAGTTAAGACAACTTTAAATTATTGAATGTTCAGTACCAAAAAGTAGCTCATTTGTTCTTAGTCCAAAAATGTTGGTCATTTTGATTTGTTTTGCCTCAACTTGTATGCATTTAGCCACCACGAAACATCTTTTTGGAAATTGTCGAAGCTTGTTACTCAAGTTCTCATAAAAACGGAAAAATTTTCTTTTGTCATTTTAAGCCATTAAATTTCCGGTAACTTTAACTCCAGCAAGGAAATTTTTTACTTCTATTAGTCAACTTTAGTTCTCTCTCCTCTTACTGCGCCTCAAAGTATTTCAGTTGTACAGTTTGAAAATGCTGCCTTTAAGAGTTTTGCATCTGATTTTCACATAGAAATTCTTCAAAAATATGAACTAGGTATCTCAATAAAAGTTTCAGAAAGTATGTAAACTCTTCCACTGTTTTGCAAAATCTTTCCCTTTTTGAAGTACTTACTGCTAGTTGTATTTTAATATTTCCCTACCTTTGTACCTCCTGTGAATTTATCAGTGTAATGTATCAAAAGTCGTTTTAGAACTCTGCAGCTCATAAACTGCGCTTTTGATCCCCCTTATCTTTTATATTTCATTCACGAACAACATTGAAGTAGCTCTGAATAATTGAGTAACCCTCGACAAACTCAACTTCTGCCCACTATCTCCCTCTAAAATGGCCACGTAATTTTTATTGACTGTGGTATTCTTCCCAGAAAGTAAGCAATAATCCTTCAATTCTCCTTGTCGCCAGAGAATTGATTTGACTTTCCTTCAACATCTCTTCCTCAACTTTTTCCCACACATTTTAGAGAAAGAAAATAGAAATATTATATGTTAATCGTACCATCTCTTTTGAGCTTGATGAATATTTATCTAACTCTGTTTTCTCTTTTTCAGCCAAACTATAAGGATAGCAATACGTATCTCGTACGAGTAGAGCACTGCCTGAATAAAGCAACTGAGCTGATTCGATTGAGAGTGACTACTGTATTAAGTACAACAACTGAGCAAGTGAAAAACGTTCAAGATACTGCCACCCATTTCACCCGATTTCAAGCAGTTGCCATTCGACTCAAGCCTGTCATGTATCAACTTGAAAAAAGGCGCCATATCAGTCACTTGTTAGTACCTTTCTAGATTTTTTAATTGAACAGTCTTCGAACAGTCATAAACAGTCTTCAATTATGGCTTCTCGCAAAGTCACCCTGACATAACTTCAACTTTGATTTTGCACCTTAGAACATCAAGAGCTTCCACAATGGGGTAGTTGCATGCAGCTGGGATTTTAGATTTGATGACTGTTTCTAGCATAACTTTTCGCGGAAAACCCGTTTTTCGCATTTGCAAGTTCCAAAATTGAGTCAAAAGCTTCGTAATAGCTCGATAAAAAGTCGCAAAATCGCAGTAAGAAGTAAACGACTTCCATTGGCTGTGACGTCAGTTGGTATACAAGGCCCCGCCCACTGCCATCATCCCTATCTCGACCGTGTGTTTACCGAGCGGAAGTATGATCTGTTGTGCTATTTAAAGTGTCTAAATTATCTTTTTTCCCCGGAAAATACTGTCGGAAATCATGCCAAAAGCTTTTCAGAACCGTATCTTGATCATAAACTCAAACACAGCGCTAGTTGAGATCAGAAAAGTGAGGAGAACAAGTCTATGTTATGGTGTTGTTGCGATTTTTGGTCACCGGCGCCTAGAGCGCCCAACTCGAGCTCTGATTGGCTACAACGCACGAACACTCCCGAAGCAGTCTGGATGCACCCGAATCCGACGGACCGCACGGCTCCCGGCAGCGGCAGAAGATACGCGAAAAGCTCTATTTCAACTCCCTTTTTCACTAAAAAATCATAATGGAGAGCTTTCAAAATTGTTTTGAAATTATTAATCAAATCCTAAAATTTTCATCAATGCAAAGAAATCAAGTCTAGATAAAGAAATCGATTTTTCGCGAATTTTGAAAAGACCGTATTTACACGTATTTGACATAGGGCGAACCTCGGTGTATACCATGTGACGTCACAAAGTCCCAGTTTCGAAGCGCGGGAAAAGACCCGTTTCAAATGGCTTTTGACTTTGCGGAGCTTTTTCTCAAAGTTCCGGTGGCCGGAAAATTATTTAAAATATACCTCATTACTCAGTAGACCTTAAACTTTTAGAAATTGAATTAAAAAAATGTCACGCAACTACCCCATTACATCTTTCAAAAATTATGGTAATGATTTTCATTACTCTCCTTAGTCACTGGTTTTGCAGAGTTGCTTTTACTGTGCAGGGAAATCCTTATCAAACATAGCATTAATATACATTACATACACTCTACAATGAAGCTATGGACTGGGTGGTATCGTATGATCAGAAATTTCAATTTCAACATTGATGTGCAAATCAAAAAATATTCTCCATCTCAGGAGAATCTAATAAAATTCCTTTAAACACAATTCATCCCCTTTTTTTCATAAAATGATTTAAAAAATTGATGCAAAGTCTCCATTGAGTACCATGCGCTACAAAAGCAATACTCACTCTTATATATGATGGTTAGTATGCTGGCAAACCACTCTAAAACAATAAACTAACATTTGTCGGTCATCTGTTTCTAATTCTTATTTTTTCAATTTGTCTATTAAAACAGGTACGAGTCAGTTTTGGATGCCTGCATCCATAGTCTTGTAACAGAACGAGAATCACTTCTGAATTTATCAGTGAAGGAAGCCATGAGAGAACTATCACAACAAAGTATGGGCGACTACTGTGCTTTGATGCGGTCTGCCTGCACATTGCTCATCCACATCTCTGCCGATGAACATCGGCTGTACAGTCAGTTTTTCAGCGAACCATCTCAGATTTTCACGTATGTACATGTGCAACATCATGAAGAAACTTATTACAATTTACTCAAACCAGATCCCTATGTAACTCGACTACAAGTCCTCCTTTTGAGTGCGTAAAAATATTTGAACCTTTCCTTCATCTTTCACCTAGTTTTAAGCTTCTTAAAGGTTGAAGGAAAGTTTCAAACTCACCAGGCTCAAATATTTTTAAACATTTTTTCAGCCAAGAACTGTTATCAGATTTGTAGATTTATCGCAGAATGAAAAGTACATATGTTGAGACTCCTTACAGGCTGTAGAGCAAGAAATGGGAAGGCATTTCAATGCTTGTTAATAATTTACCTTTTAAGTCTTAAAAGTTTCAATGTTACTCATTTTTTTCTTTCCCTATCCTCAGGGATTACATGCAGAGACTATGCATGAATCTATACGATACTATGAGGCCATTCGTTATTCATATGAAGTATTTGGAAACTCTGGCGGAGCTCTGTTCCATTTTACGTTCTGAGATGTTACAAGAACATGTCCAAAATCAACGTGAGTACTCATCATACCTCTTACATTATGATTAACAGTCAAGCTGAATTTTTCCACTTTAAACTTAAGAAAGCTGTAGGGCTTGAGAATTAGTTTTAGATCAGCCTATTGGAAGGGTTGCAAACGAACAAACACTCCTCAATTTTGAAGAAATATGATTTTATGACACATTGATAACTTTCCCATAACTGTTTTTTTTTTTATCAAATCAGGTCATAAAAAATATTTCTTTCATGGCTTAAAAAAATCTCAGATCCCCAATTTAGGAACGTATAACTACGATCCACGAAGAGTAGTTGGGCGTATTTCTGTCAAACAGAACCATGTGTAGGGGGAAAGATGCGGTGTGCTTGTTAGTGCCTGGGCCACAAGAATGGATGGGAAAGATAAAGCGCCTGTAACAAAACCGCCGCTGCGCTTCTCCCGTGGCTGACTAACTCATGAGCCCTGTTCACAGTGCTCTAGATACATGCCCACGGCTCATTGGTGCCACACTTAGTTGGCTCACAGTTCCGTTTGCTGAAGTGGAGAAGCGGGATTTCACGTTCTGTCAAACGGAACTACATGCACAGTGTATGAGCCGTGGGTATATACCTAGGGCGTTGTGGACAGGGCTCATGAGTTAGTCGGCCATGGAAGAAGAGCGGCGGCGATTTCATCACTTGCACTTTATATTTCACATTCATTCTTATGGCCCGGGCACTAGAATGCCAGTGATCAAAGAAAAATACCTTCTCAAAGCAGAAAATTTGAACAATGCAAATGAGCGCTCAGGAAGCGATCATTGACTTCCTCGAAATACTTTGTGATTTTTGTGTTTTTTCTCTCCTTAAAACCTCATTCATTTTGGTGTTTATTTTTCATACAACAGACCGAATGCAAGCACTAGAATCGCCAATGAAAGATCTTTAAAGTTTTTTCTGCCGAAGCATAATGATAATAGCCCATTACACCTGTTCTACCGAAGCATAAAGTTTTTTTTTCATTCTCTAGCCTATGCCCTGGAAGCCTTCGGTAACGTAGTGGAGCAGCTGTTGAGAGATATTCAAGAGCGCTTAGTGTTCAGAGCCCATCTTTATTTCAAAACTGATATTGAGCAATATCATCCCTCGCCAGGAGATTTAGCGTACCCTGACAAGTTGGAGCTGATGGAGGTAAGTTTCATTGCTTTCCTTGAATCTATGGCACCCATCAACTTTTTTTTCAGTTTAAATTTAGACTAAATTCAAATTTTTCAGTTGATTTTTCAGAGAACAAAATGGCGAGAAAATAAATCAAAGCAATGGCTGCATGCATATGAAACAAGTCCATATTCTTCAGAATACTGGAAAAGAAAGGAGGGGTTGGGGGGAAAGGAGGGGCCGAAATCGGCCCCTCCATGGAATTGAATAATTTTTGGATGCTTCGGAGTTAACGGTGCATATTTGACGGAAATAATCGAGTTTTGCCGATACTCACGTTTTTTCCTGCGAAAAAGGGGCCTAAACATGGCTTCAGAGCCGAAAATAGCTCAAATTTCGCGTTTTTCGCGATTCTACCGTAGATCTCGACCTGGGCCCAAAGCGACGGGTGATGAGCTTCGAATATGTTGTTTAGGACACCTAGACACGTAACATACTTGAAGATGATCAACCGTCTCCTTTGGGCCCAACCTCAAGATCCAACTTTTTCAACTTTTTAGCCCGAAATAGCTGAATTCCATGTTTTCGGCAGTTCTACCTCAGATTTCGACCTGGGCCCCAAGGCGACGGGTGATGAGCTTTGAATATATTGTCTAGGACACCTAGACACGTAACATACTTGAAGATGATCAACCGTCGCCTTTGGGCCCAACTTCAAAATCGAACTTTTCCAACTTTTTAGCCCGAAAGAGCTGAAAATCCATGTTTTTCGCGGTGATACCTCGGCTAACTACATTTTTTACATGAAAACAGTTGTGTGGATTTTCGTGCAAATTTCAGCGAATTTTCTCTATAGTACGAAGCAAATTCCTTAACATTTTCAAAGGGATCCGCTCAAATATTTTCTCGTAAAAAATTAAATTGCCCAGTTAAAATTGGCGATAGCTGATGTGGCTCGGTTCCTTTCTGTTAAACGCGGTCCAAATATCCTTGTCAAGAGGAGCCGATGGAGTTCACTCAAGGAAGGAATTTTTCGAAGTGGTAATTAATTTTCATGTAGGAATCCGTCTTTAAAATATTGTTTGATTATCAATGGTGGTAGAACCAGTTTTCTTTGAGTCATCCTTGAATTCAGTCCTCTATGATGTTAACTTACATATTGCAGTCAAAATTATCTGCTCCGAGGTTTTCTATATTAAGACATGAGGAAAGTTATTCTAATGGGGGTGTTTTCCCTTTCATTATTAATAATTATTTTTATTGATGTCATTGCTTTGTTTTTTCTCTTTACAGAGCATAGCCCAAGAAATCAGTGCCCATGAAACTGCGAGTCTGAGTAGGGCAGAGTCTCATAGTTCACTAGTCAGTGTGGGGTCTTTGACATCGCAAGAGGTTGCCCGAATAAATGGAGGCAAAAGTTACATTCGACCACCCTCAAGTGAGTTTAACCCTTTGAGCCCTAGGTTTTCGCGCGGCCGCCCGCGACCCCGGCCTAGGTTTTTTTCCCGGCAGCGCGCAAATTTAGATGTTTTCATTGACTCAATCTGGGTAATTATTTCGGCAATAGATTGCACACTTAGCCGTCGTTTATCCATTTTATGACAAACAATCTCATTAAATCTTTTAATCAAACACTTTTACTTCACTAACATCGAACAAAAACGCCGGTAGAAAAACGAAAATCGGATTGTTTACATCGCGGCAAACCAAGCACGGCAACTGAGAGGTTACCTTGATGCGGTTTCTCCGGATGGCACCGCACTCTATCGGCAGTAGTCTACAGTTGTAGATCACATCCTTCCCGACAGAATGCATATGCTACATGACTTGATACACCGATTACAGAGTGAGCTAGAGGGGAATCTCTGGCCGGCGGTCGCAACACGAGATAACTCGTGCGTAGGCCCGGGCGTGCGGTATGCGCTACACGAGTTAACTCGTGCGTAGGCCTCAAAGGGTTAAATACTTTCAATTCACAAATCAAAAAATGACTCATTCCTTATCTACGGGTCACAGTGAGGTACCAACATTGTTCCATCTCAGAAAAAGTCAGAGGAAGTTGGTACCCATTTTATTTTATTTTTGAAGCTACCTGTTGCGCAAGATTTCCCAAAAAAGTTCTCTTTCTGTTTTTGTGTTTTTTTTGTCACCTCTGTAAGGTGGACACTTCCATCAAAATCAGGGTTTTTTTATTTTTTATCTAAGTCATTCTGATCATTAACAAATAAAATTAAGACAAATTACCTAATATTGCTAATATACAATGTGAGTAATGTTCTTTTAAGGTTCTTCCCCTCCAGAAATTAGGATTCTCCTACGTTCATGGTCAAAAACAGTGTGATTACCAACTCAAATCTTACCACTGGTTGCATCTTCCCTGGCTGCCTCTGTTGGACCCGTAAATGTAGTTTGATCGTTCTCTTTTTGCTTTTCCATCCGGCCTCAGTCATTTTAACATGACAGATTGTCTGATTCTAAATTAAATTCCCTCTTTGTCTATTGACAGCTGGTTCTCCTGCAGACCTGCATGGAATGTGGTACCCGCCAGTTCGCAGAACGTTAGTATGTTTGTCACGGCTGTATCGATGTGTTGAGAAGTCCATCTTTCAAGGCCTTTCTCAGGAAGCAATCAATGCCTGCATAAAGAATGTCAGTGAAGCTTCTAAAATGATCACCGCAAATAAGGTATTACTCATGCATCATTGATATTACTCTCTCTTTCTAAAGTTCCACACAAAACAAAACAAGAATGTTATGTAATATGATTAATGCAACTCTGAAAAAACATTTATTTTGGCTTGTCTGTTGTACAGCTTCTGTCTGTTTTTTCATCTCAATTTACAAAAATATACTTAAATGCTTTGAACACATCAATTCAATTGATTCATGAAATTTCACATTATTTTTCATTAACTGACCAAAAATGTCCTTTCGAAATTGCATGCAAATATTGGGTACTATTCATTTAAAAAAAAAAAAAAAATGGACAGAGATTCTGAGACTCTGTATATGTCTCTAATTTCACTATCGATGCTTGTTTGTGGGGAAAGGGACCCAAGTCCACAATAATTAAAAAGTGACCTCTGATGCGAAAACATTGGGGAGGTTTCTTTGCAAGAAAAAAGAATTTCCCAAAAATGAAATGAAAATTTCAGTCCAAAAAACATAATTTCAAGAAATGAAATACCTATTTTTAAGTCTCAATCTGTCCAGTTCAGGGCACAAAACAACTAGATTATATAATGCAACTTCTTAGTCCTCATTGGTATGAACTAAATTGAGCACAATTTATTCTGTGGGACACCGAAGAGAGTGCTCAGCTAAAATCAGCATGTCAGTTTGTGTGCTGCTTGAAATTTCGAGTGTCTGCTATGAACAGAAAGTTTCTAGTTTTGATACCTTTTTGGCCCCCTAATAGGCACCTGAGGAAACCACTTGAAACCAATGGGCTCTGAACCATTCAATTTAGTTAAGAAGACTACATTTACACCTGAATTTATCCGTTCCCGAAGTTTTAAAACAGTGTAATAACTTATCAAACAAAATACCCATCCAGTCCTCTCATTTTGGTTGAATCTACGGTGAAAAGTGAATGAAGTTATGACATTTTGAAACAAAACTAAACACACAAACTTAACATCGTAATACAAGTATTTTGCCCAGGAAATTAACATTCAGTGTTTTTGTACTTTACAGACTCCGATTGATGGAGAATTGTTCCAAATTAAGCATCTTTTAATTCTGCGGGAGCAACTTGCCCCTTTTCAAGTTGACTTTACCGTCAAAGAAATGAGCCTTGACTTCAGCAAAATGAAATCAGCAGGTTAGTCACTAAGTTGCCACACTCAATTCTTGTGTCTTTTTCATCTTTTACTCGTTATTTTTCCTTCACTTACTTTTATACACTCTGTGATATTAATTCTAAGAGTACTCTTATTTAAAGAAAAAATGAAAAGTAGTCATCTCCTGATTCTATATGTATATCAGTTGTTTTTTTATACCTAGCTTACAATAAAACTTTCATTTCAACTGTGTAAGTCGGCAATCACATAACTCCATTGCAGTGTCTGAAAATCTCCGCCTCTATGTTATTTTTTTAAAGGAAAACACATTGACATCATTCCTTGAAGTTTTTGCAGAATTTTCTTCGCACAGAGAAGAAAAATCACGGCAGTTTTAAAGAATTGCCATTGAGTAGTTTTCCGTTCAAAAAATAAAGTATGACAGGAAGTCTGCAACTTTGCAAACCAAGTTATGTGATTGCCGACTTACACCGTCGATTTACCTCTTGTAATTAAATTTGGATAAATGATGTCAGCTGTGACAAACACATTTTGTTGACGGTCGAATGATCTTGTTGGAATGTCTGTTGAAATATGTCTTATTACAAAATTAACTTTTTCAGAAAAATATGTTGAATATCTGTAATATAGTTTTAAATGTAAAACTTTGATGTGAGTTTTACAGGAAATGCAAAAATACTCACCTACTCTCTTTAATATGTTTTTCTTTTCTTCCCCCTCCTTTCATTTTACAGCACTAGGATTGTTAGAGCGCAAAGCCAAATTACTTTCTCTGGATAGCAGCAACGCATTATTTGCTTTCTTGTTGGAAGGAACCCCTCTGGTAAGAGAGAGCAATCTTGATGCCCGGAAGGAAGTCGATAAACAGTTGAAGGCGTCTTGTGAATCATTCATCTCCCATGCTACAGATCAACTTGTGGGCCCTCTGCTATTATTACTTGATTCGGTATGTCAACTATTTTTCCTCTGTTTGCTTTACAACGCATTTTGAAACTCTTTACCTTCAATAATTCCAATCACGTTTCAAAACACCTCTGAAAAAGGGCATGAATAATGGCACAGCGCCGAGGAAGAAATTTATGGAAAAAGTATTACTCAAATGATACAAAATTCTTACCTAACCTATCATACCCAAACCCAGGGTTGCAGAATTCTCTTCGCCTTCAAATTTTTTAAGGCAGCCTTCACATATTTTGCGGCTGCCTTCACATCGCTATCCACACAAGACTCTTCCTCTCTCATATGTTTTGAGGCAGCCTTCATTCACATTGCTGTGCATTTAAAAATGCGCTTTTCACTATTTTCTTCACAATAAATAGTACTTTACACAGTTTCCTTCGCAATAAGTAATGTACTCGGCAGTTTCCTTCAAAAAACACAGTGCTGCCTTTACATTGTTTCTTCCTTTTCAGGTGCTCTCACGTTTCCTTCGCGAACTTCTGGAAATGAATGTTAAAATTTTGGTACTTTGCAATTACAGGCACAGAAATACTTAAAGGATCCAGGACCAGGGATGGAAAAAGCTTTGTCAAAGCAGCCATTTGCAGCCCCGAATATAATATCTCAAACCGTCCAAAACGTTCTAAGGAATACCAAAGCTCAATTACCTTCTCTTCAAAGGAGTATGTCTTTGTACCTAGCTAACCCTGACACTCAATTCATTCTGTATAGACCCATCAAGGTAAAATTTTGTCCATTTTACTGCTCTTTTCCATTCTGTTCTTCATTTACCTATTTATTTCTTTTAAAAAATATCTTTGCATTTTTTTAAATTGATTTTTTGATGCAGTTCTTGTTTTGTCAAATACTCCTTCTTGATAGTAACCTGTCAGCCAAAAAACTATCTGTTAAAATATGAATATGTCATGTTAATATTTTCCAAGTTTGAGAAAATTCAACCATTTACATGTTTAATTTAATGTTTTAAAGTCATTTTGTGGTAATATTTCTCCAGTTTTGTGCTCCTTTGTGGTTGACCTGACGTTTTTTGTACACAGTTTATTAATATTATAAGTAGAATTGTGCAAATTGGTCAGGTAACCCAGCCTATTGAATTGAAATTTTAATAGAATAATAGAAGAATAGTGTAAAAACAATTTAAACTGACTTTTTTTCCCAACTTTCCATTGATCTATTTTTCAGAACAATGTCATCGGAACTTTTTCAAAACTTTCACAACTTCTTTTGAACAACGACTATTCTGAGGATGATCGCCTCCTAATAGGATGTCCTTCAGCAGAACAAGTCTCTGTGCTGCTTTCCTCTGCTGCTTTAACGCATCGAAAAATCAGCACTGCTTCCGATTCTGGCGCCAGACGAATCGAAGACTGGCACCGCGGAAGAAAAATCAGCTTTGAGAACGGTAATGTTTCTAATTTAGATGTAAGTAGAACCGAAAGACTCTCTGAGCAAGATGAAAGTCAGTTGGACAAAGAATCAACTGTCACCAGCACAGAAACAGAAAACAATCTTGTAAATAGCTCTAGCAAAAGTAATCCTGATAGTCAAACTAAAGTGAATTTAGTGGATGAAAAGTCAAAAGAGGAATCTTAGCATTTATTGTGTGATGGGCAGTTTTCTGCCTCCCCCAGAGAAAAATTGTTAACAACACCAAAGCTGGCCCTTCCCATTGTAGTGTTATTTTTCTGTTAAATTTATTAGGTTTTGAAGTTTATTATTTTGCTTTGTGATCACCCAGGAATCTAAGTTTCCTGGAAAAGTTAAAAACAGCAAATGGAATTTTCCAGGTAATATCTTAAGAGTTTTTCTATTTGCTTTTTGAATTGTAAGTGGACATTGTCTAAGTGTGCATCTATTCAACGTTAAAGCAGTCAAGTGCATAAAAGTTCCTTTGTAAACTAGATTTCATCTAGAAATTCCTGAAAATAGAGCAGTTCTCCTATCCTTGATCTCGCGCTCACTCCTAAAATCAGCCAGAGATGCTAATTTCTTTCTAAAAAATGGAAGAAAAAAACGTTTTAAGTGTATCCAGACATCACTAAATATTGTAACTTTAGCCGTGAAAAGTTAAAAGGTTCTACTTTGGAGGAAGATGAGCTTGGAATATGATTTGATGCAGTCCAACTTCCTTCAACAGCTGAAGAGGGATTAATTTTTTGTTTTTTACCAAACTCAAAACCGCTTCAACTTGAAAATCTCGAAGGAAAAAGAAGGTCCTGTATTATAAATAGCTCAACCCAGATTTTAACATAATTTTAAAAGCTTTCATTTGACCTCTATTTTAACTACAGTTCAAAATAAATGTTTGAATCATTTTTGTCATGATTGATTTAAAGAAAAAGATAGGAGTCATTCTTGTTGGACGAGACAATCTTGCCAAGAAATAGGGTTCCATAACAAAGTTTTAAGGAAGGGTCAAAATAAGTACTTTAAATTAAATAAAAAGGGAAAATTGAATAATTTTTTAGAAATCCTCAGTCTGATTAAAGTCCATTGAAGAAACGTTTTGGTCAAATTCGAAAAGAAATCTATTCTAGGTTATATAATCATAAAAGTGCATAGTTTTTTTTTTTTTTTAAAGTAGTTATATTTTTAGCTTGTGTATTAAAAAGAAGAGAGGAGAAATATGATTACAACATTACGCATAATATTGATGATTTTTTATTGTATGCAAATTAGTAACAAGGAAGGTTGAACTAATAATTTCCTCTCTCAATTCCAGAAGCATAGTCGATTTATCCTACAATGAATTGTAAGAGATGGTACTATTATACACTGCATTTTAATAAGTTCTTCTACCGGTGTTATCATCTTTTATAGGTTGATAATGTTTTAAATCTTAGAATATCCCCAGTCCCTCTTTGAAGATGTATAGTTCCTAACCTGTAGAATTTTCCAATTTTCAAACGAACTCATTTGGAAGAGCATAAAATTCCTTCATTGATAGTCAGCAACTAGATACGAGCTGTCAGCATGTATAATATAAGACAGATATCAACTGTTAATTTATCATTTATGTCTGTATTTTAAAGATTTCAATTTCACTCGGTAGACAAAAAATAATATCATTTATTAATATCAGCTGAGTTTGAAATATCTGATATCGAATGGACTACATTTTGCAATTAGGAACTACAATTTCAGGCTCATCTGAAAACTTTGAGAGTACACGGTCAAGTTGTACCTACTATCGATCAAATCAAAACACTATTACATAATACAAATTAAGTTCACAAAACTTGTTGTTTACCACAATGACAATGAATATTTTTTATGCAAATATTTAATAGAATCTTTTAATTTGAACCGCAAAATCACTGACAGATGTGAAATAATTCAGACAAAAGGAACAATCATTTAAAAAACCAAGCAATTTTTCACTCCTCACATTAAATGTCCTCTGTTCCTGTTCAACAGTCAACTCCAGCAATGTCACTGCAGCAATGTCTGCAGACTGAACCTCCAATTTGAGCATATGGAACAGGCTAATGATTTTACCAAACCGTCCTCTCCTATTCTAAGGTTTAAATGAGTATTTAATCTGTAATGACACTTGTCTATTTTGCAAGTCACTTTCAAAGTGTTTCCCTTACTCGTTGAAATTATTTTCAACTAGAACTGGATTGAAGTAGAACTGTTACAATAAGTCAAGATGAAATGTGATAATTTTATTTTTAAAGAAAAATATATCTGATTTGTATAACAAATGTTAATTTATTAAAGAAAAAATTAAAATCAACCCTAGTAATCATTTGTCTCATTTGTCATAATGGATATTGTAAGACCTAACAAGATCGAGAGCGAACATTTATAGCTCCCATCAAATATGGCTGGAGGGTTGCCATCGATTTTGTCAATTTCCTTTGGAGGTCAGAAGGATCTGAAGTCATATACTGTGATGGACAGTCAACATCCTCATAAATTACTATCGATGGTCTTGGACTATCAGAAACTGAGGATTCCGACAATCTCGTGTGGGGAGCCACCTTTTTCTGCTTAGCTCTGTATGTGCCCAAACATTCAAAAATGAGAATTATGTTCGCCAGTGTGTATCCAAAAGCCATGAGGATGAAAACTCCAGAAACGTCTTCGATGTTCAGAGAACGATCCTCCGGCACCAGTTTGGCAGCAGCCTCCTAACATTGATACTATAATAATTAAACATGCAGACACTAAAATATGGTAACCACAAATCAGGAATGTGATCAAATTCCAAAAGGAATTTTCGCCAAGAAAAAAAGGCGAGAATTTTTTTCCTGATTATTTGAAACTGTGGAAGATCCTAGCGTTGAGCTAATGAACAAACTTGTCCCTTTAGTCTGATTAAAGAGAGGGAAAAATAGAAATTAGGACAGTGCCATGAAATTATTGAAATAAAAAAGGTATTTTTTTTTTTTTTTCATGGAAATGAAATACTTTTACACCATTTGATCAATAAATGCCGATTTTAAACAATCAGCAAAGAGTTTCATGTACCTATCAGAAGAAAAATTGGAACTCGACGAGCTAAAAATTATTATGTCCTAGTTGAAAGACATTATATACACAGAGTAGGAAGTACGCACCATCAATAGTCTTGTGCCAGCAAGTCTGTAGTATTCCCATTCAAGATCTCGTTCAAACTTGGCAACATAGCCTGCCTGTCCAATTCTGAGGAGGGCCTCGTTCATTTGGTACACGAACGGTGCCCGTTTATTGTATGCTACGCTCACCACGAATGGAATGAAGCACTCGTCACTCAGGTGAAATTGGGCTTTCATGTTTTGCCTAGAAAACGAGAGGTTCTGGATTGTAATTTTCAATGTTAGGGAAGTTTGATATGTATATAGAATATTATAACGAAAAGCCCGTGTAATTTCACTATAGATGTTTTCATTTCTTAATCATTTTTTTTTTCTTCCTCTTATCTTCTTTCTCATTTCTACATTATTTTCTCTTCCTTTCTCTCTCCTCTTCTCTTGATCTTCATCCTCCTCGGTCTTTTTACCTCTTGTTTTTTTCATCTTTTTTTTCCTCTGTCCTCTTTTCTTCTTTATCTCTCTTCTCTTTTGCTCGCTTATCCCCAATTATTCCCTTTTTTTCTCCTTCTCTTTTCTCGTTTCCTCTTTGTTTTCTTCCAATTTGTCCTCATCTTTTCCTTCTTCATTCTCTCTTTTTTTCTTCTTCCTCTTCCTCTTTTCCTTTCCCTCCTAGTCTTACCTGCTTCTTGGTTTTTGACCTTTGAATTTCTCTCATGTTCTTCTTCATCATCATCATCCTGTTTCCTTCTTTTTCTTTCCTCTCTTTTCGTCCTCTTTTTCCTCTTTCTCTTTTCCTTTCCCTCCTAGTCTTACCTGCTTTTTGGTTTTTGACCTTTGAATTTCTCTCATGTTCTTCTTCATCATCATCATCCTGTTTCCTTCTTTTTCTTTCCTCTCTTTTCGTCCTCTTCTTCCTCTTTCTCTTTTCCTTTCCCTCCTAGTCTTACCTGTTTCTTGGTTTTTGACCTTTGAATTTCTCTCATGTTCTTCATCATCATCATCATCCTGTTTCCTTCTTTTTCTTTCCTCTCTTTTCGTCCTCTTCTTCTACCTTCTTCTTTTTACTCTTTTTTCTTTTTCTTCCCCTATATTTCTTCTTCTTTCTCTTTTCTTCTTTCATCTTTTTTTTCTTGGATGGGCAATAAGAAGTAAAGTAGAAAACAGCGTAAGGGTCGAATTTTATATCGGCACAACGCAAGCTCTCTCAGCTAGACTGACGTGTCCATGTTCCATGCAAGTATTTTTAAGCAATATATTGAAATACCCCCTTGCTTACAGAAGCGACAGATTTCTAAGCTTACCTCGCAGTTGAGTTGGTGCGGAGGTACCATTCAATTAGAGCGAAAGAGCCGAGAAACGCGTGGTGTCGAAGATAGCTGGAACGAGTCACGTTACGAAGTCCCGAATCGACGTCAGGCACCAAGATCGGATCGTTAAGTAACTTCTGTCCAACCGGATCGTCCAAATCCGTGAACCAGTTTTGCCAGCCACCCTCATCTACGATGACCCGTCCAAGTAGTATTTATTTATTTTAAGACCATTCATCGATGGCTGAAGTTGAAAGTTGCGCACCGCGTACCCATCACAAATGCAGTGTTTATAATACTCCGCTTACTTTTATCTTTTCAGAAGAGAGCCAACCAAAATACATCTTCAACATTTTTTTCGAATATGTTTGAATTAGTGTGGAATATTTTCAGAAATTTTTAAGAATGAGAGTTGGTCGGTTTTCTTTGATAAAAATAAGATAAGTACGAGCAGAGATTGGCAAGCATTTCTCAACTTCAACCATCAATGCGTGTACATGACCGTCCACTGGGGAAAAGAGATTCAGAGCAAAAAACAATCTGAAAATAAAGGTACCTATATAATAGTTTGTCGATTCTGAAAATACGTAATTTAAAATGTGACTTCACAAAATTCCCTTCCGTATTTTATTTTTTGCAAAAAAAAAAAAAAAAAA